ATCTTAAGAGGAATTGGGTAGGTTACAGATGAAACAGTATTGGCCAGGAGTTGATAACTGTTCTCTCCATTTATGTACATATTTAAATTCTCCATAATGAAATGTTAAACTGTATTTGATATAGAGGAAATAAAAATGCCAATTTAAGTGGTATTTTTGCTTCAGTATGAAATCAAATGTTTTCTTAGGTGTAATTAGTATTCTAAGTGTTCAATGGAGAACTACCCCTGTGTCCCTTTGAGAACAGAATTTATTGAGAGTAGATATAGGAATAACACAGATAGACATGAACTTATCAGCTTAATAAAGTAATAACTGATAAAAAGCTGAATTAAAGGATATGGCTTAGATATATAATACAACCACAGTGGATTTCCTTACACTTTACCCTGAATTAGGTAGACTTCTTCACTGCATCAATGGAACAACTAGACATCTGCAGGCACTCAGACATAGACTTACTGCAAAAATAAGAGCAGACCAAAATATTCCCTCTATGAACAAGCAGATCCACACAGAAAACCCACAAGAGGCTGAACTGAGCATGTTCAATTCATGTTCTCATCTGTGTAAGTGGGGCAGAGAGAGGCCAATGATGTTTCTCAAGTAGAAGTTTCTTCACAGAAACTTGAGCTTAGAGGAATGGAGGTCACAGGAATTTTTTTTTTTTTTTTTTGTATTCTAATACTGTAAACTTGATGTGCAGTTTAGCTTTCTGTTTGTGATTTGAGGGAGGGGAGAATTTACCAAAGATTTTACCTTTGCAAACGACCATAGGAACAATGACATTTTCCTGCCTTCATTCTATTTGTGAGTTTAAAAAGGACCTTGGACTTTTAGATGTTAGAGTTGTGTTAACATAATACATTTTTCTTAATAAAGGAAAAAAAATCAATGTTCAAGTAGATATAATAAAAGAACAGTGGCATCAATATCTATGCCTGCTGAAAATGCTCTGAAGTTCCTTTGAAAAATTGTAGTAGCATTTTTCAACTTTATAGAAAAAATAATAGTATCTTAGTTTCATCATGCATTAGAAAGTACTTGTGGATTAGGTGAGAAGTTAGTTAACCACTGGCATTTTCTATACTGACCTAATAATGTTCTATTTTGATTTACTCAGTGCTTTATGGTTATGTAGATGTTGAATACAGGAAGATTTATGTTCGGGTTCATGGGCTGTATTTTTTGTGATGTCCTTTATTTAAGATTATATTAGAATTTGTGGGGACCTTTGACTTAATTGAAATGGCTTCACATGAGTAAGAACTCTTAAATGATCATTTAGGTAATTGACATAGGAATTATTTGTGAAAACATTTTATTATAAAAATCTTTATGAGGTTTTGCTGTATTTTCAGCTCACAGTTGGCAAGAAAGGGAGAGTACTTTCTCTGAGATGTTGAAGAGAAGGTGTTTAGAGGGAATCATTTTTAGAAATTGAAATGGTTATAAGAATTCTTAATGAACTGATAGCACCACTTCATAATATTAAACTGAGTTCTTAAAGGGCTAGAACCATCTCTTTATTTTCAGGATCAAGTGTATATATAGTTAGTGCTTAATACATAGTTAGTGCTTGATGACTATTTCTTGAATGAATGAGTGAATCATTGACCACAATAAATTTAGTTCTCACAATTAAGGGAAGAGAGGATAAAAAATTCTAGAAGGTCTTCTATAGGTCTTCGTTAAACCATTCTTCACCTTGTTAAACTTGTTTTTCATGCATGTATTTTTGCAGTCATTTAATTGTGTAGTCTCAAAGAGTATTTCTAAAGACTTGGTTTCAAGTTAAGAAGTCTTGAAGGATATGCATCAGAATTGGACAGGAACCTGAAAAAAAATAAAGGAATTTATTTTTGTGTGGTAGGATTCTGGGTTTAAAGTTTTTCAAATTTCTATTTTTGTTGTGATAAGATACTGATACATTAATAATGATAAAAGGAAAAGAGGTTACATTAACACATCTATTTCACAGAGCCCTTGTAACACTTAAATGTTTGCTTATTCATTCAACAAATATTTCTTTAACACTTTAAACCTGCCAGAGATAGAGATTCATTAGACTAGGAAGTACTATATTATAAAGCAATAAGTATGGTAATTACTATATTTAATTGATTCTAAGAAGCGTATTTTCCCCATTTTAACATCTCTAACACTTGGACACATATAATTGTGTCTTTTAGTTAAAAATTGGCAGCGTTTTTTCCTTAATGGTACATAAAATTATAGAGTATCTTACAATTGATGATGTCTTAGATTTAATAAAATACAGTATATTTCTAAACAGTCATTAACTTTTAAGATCTTGAGGCAAGAACCACATGTAATTCGTCTTGGCATCTCCCTAACACCTAGCATGGAATTGCATTAATTACATTTTGTGCTAATCAGTAAGGAAGTATTTCTCTCAAAATCTTATCTTTAAGTCTTTGCATTCTACTAATTTAGTGTTTTTACAAAATTAATATATAAAATGTTATGGCAGTATAGTCACTGTTTTTCCATTGAGTAGCTTAAACCTGTTGACATTTTAAATACTCCTTTTTTATAGTTGATTACTTCTTTCCAGTAGTTATAGTATATCTGACAATTAGGAATTATTAGGTTGAATTTTCATTTCTGATTTTGAGATGGCTAGAGTGTGTCCTTAACTGACTAGGATTTGGTTTAAGATAAACTGATATAGTATAGCTAGTTTTTAGTTCTCCATTGTATCAGGATGATTAATTATAATTATTTGTTATTTTATGAGAGTTACTAACATGTAGTAAAGTTATATGGCTCGGTTTTAAAGCTTTATGTTTCCTCTTTAAAGGAGGTAGTGATAAATACTAAAATGGAAAAAAAAAAGCAGCAATAAGAATATACGTAAGAATTGAAGGCCTGGATAATCTGCCTACTGGGTAATTGACCTCTGAGCAATGAAAAATTGGCTGTGATTTCATGCATTACTATCAAGCATTGTTTAGATTTAACTTTTTATTCACTACTGACTGAAATAAAGTTTGAAGTGAAATGCTCTGTATCTCATTTCTAAACTCTCAACCGTTCAATCATCTCTGATTGTGAACTCATGAGATTCAAACATGATAAAACAATAATGAGAAGTTAAAAATCAGGGTTAGGAAAAAAGTCTGTATTTTAAACCTGCAGTATTCTAAATGGGAGAAAAGCAATTATAAGAGGTTTAGAGAATCAATAGAAATTGATGTTTTATACCAAAGAAAACTTAAAACCTTGAGTCCTGCCCTCCCTGCCATCACTACACAAATAAAAAGAAATCAATAGGCCCAGAAACATAAGCTATTAAAGATTTACTTCCAGCATATTTTATTTTACTTTATTTTTAAAATAAGAATGAATGATAGTCATGGATTTAAAAATAACTGTTTGTACGGTTTCTAGCTGGTTACCTAAGAAGCTTTACAGGTCCTTTCAAATAGGAAGATATGTAGGTCTGTATTAAAAGATTATTAACAAACTTTGTCAGACTGTATTTGATAAATTTCACATTTCTGAGATAAGCTCTTGGCTCTAACAGTAACGTAATCAAGGGTTTGAAACGAGGGACTGAGGATGGGTATTGTTCAAGCTAGTAAACACAGCAGTTAAGGGACTTTGAAATTGAGCATGAGAAATTTGAACTTGAAGGTCAGTTTGGAGTGTTAAGGAAAGTTTTACATGACTGAAGTAGTGAGATTTTATAGGGCTAAAATCCATTGGAACAGACGCTTTCATAGGAACAAAGTGATTTCTATGTCCCAATGTATCAGTTCTCTATTTTTTCCTCAATGATAAATGTATGGCCAGTGTTTACTTGAATGAAGACATCCAAGGCATACCCAGATTTTGTGAAACCCATTAACAATCTTCCAAGGAAGTACAAGAGATTTTCTGAATGCCATAGCTGTTAGTGGAATATAATTTATTAATGGTTATTAACTATAAGGAGCCAGTTATATGCTGTTCATAGCTGGATTTCTATAATACCATGTTCAAAAAACAAACCTGAATTCAAGTAAATAAAGGTGATATTATGGGGATAACTTTGAATTGATCCTGAGCCAGTAAAAATAATTTACAAAATTGTGTATTATATTATAAATAAATTATTTGACATGCTTAAAATGTCATTATTGTACACCACTGTATTGGGTTACTGCTTAAGAGCAGTGCTTTCTTGCTTTTACTGTAATGTAGTCACTATGACGAATCATCCTATATGTCAAATTATTTCTCTTGATAATGTCTGTGTCAAGGATATCTTCCACTCTACAGAATGTAGATGACTGTTCCTTTGTGCATAGAGAATGGGAGATGAGTAGGAGAGATAATCTACCACAGAGTTTATCACAGTTCTTTCTTCATGCCGTGGAACATGTTTTCCTTTCCCTCTGCATTTCAAGCATCTTCACTAAAAAACAACAACAACAAAAAAAAACCTCAAAAAACCCCAAATATTCAAAACCAAGAACATAGTATTCATGTAGAGAGACCAAGGAGCCAAGATGAGCAAAGGAGAGATTCTGAGTTTGAATGATAGTTAAAATATCTTTACAGAGAAATAATAGAAATAAAGAATTTATCTAAGGACATGATTCCATTCTACCCCTGGAATATCACTTCCTATCACTGAAGCCACTCCTCAGCTTGGTTTCATTTCATTTAAGTCAGGGATTTCTTAAAATAATAGAATTTTAAATCAAGGAAGGACTTTAAAATCATCTCTGTGTATCGCCCTTATTTTTACATTTATAGCAGGTTATTCTTTGTAACCCTGTAAATGTCTTATTTATCTTTGAATCCTTAGTAGATAGCATAGAACCTAGAAGGTATTCTATAAATGTTTGTTAAATTAGCTTAAGGAACTTAATCTTCGTTAATATTAGTCAAAATACCACTCATAAGGTCTGCTAGTTCTTAGTTAATCTTAGCAATTAAATGTTACCATTAACTGTTTTTTTCTTGATCCTTTTTTTTTTTTTAACCAGATTTGCATCTGCTGGTGATGATGGAATTATAGTTGTGTGGAATGTCCAGGTGTGTATTGATTATATGTGGATTGTGTAATAAAGATATGACAGTATAGTTGAGTATTCATTCATAAATACTATCTGGGGATATATTTGCGTATCGATATAATTATTTGAGATGAATACTTGAAAAAGGGCTACTTAAGATAAATCCATTTAAAATAGGGATCAATATTTTGTGATAATGAGGGAAACTTTTTTTATTAAGATTTTTTCCTGAGAAACAAATGCCAAATTATGAAAATAAAAATTTTAATTTTACTGAACTATGCACTGACTGCCAAAATGAATCAAGTGTTGATTTTTGTGACAGGCACATTTTTTTTTTAGCATTGTATGGTAGCATAATGTAACATTTGTCTTACGTTTGACTTTAATAGTAATACAACAAAAGGCCTATTTTTTAAAAAAATATTTAAGGCCTCACCAAGTTTCTCTAGGGTCTCTCTTCCTGATCCTTTGTTACTCAAATAATTCTCTTTTGAAGCATTTCTCTTCCTCTCACCCTTATTTTAGATTGTTATCTGGTCTGACTCTGTCAGATCCTCATTTTTCAATGGCTTGGCCTATAATTAAAGCAATTCTTAAACATTACTTTCGCTACATTCATGAAATCATGCAATCTTGGAAAGATATGCAGTTTACATTATATTTTACGTTGTATTTTTGTATATTTACTGCTTGGGAAATCAGTGAGATGATGGAGGAAGACATTGGATGAGTGGGAATAGATGTTGGTGTTAAATAGAGATGGAATGGAGACTTATAAGTGGTTGATAAATTAGTGGAGATAAATATATACACATACATTGTTATGCTGACTTTTATTTCCTTTCACAACCTTATAACTGTAGAGACTTAAAAACAAATACTTGGATGATGAGGACTCCCTATCTTTTTTTCTACAGGTTAAGTTACTGATTTTTTAAAGAATTATATTCTTAAAACCATAGGAAAGAAGATTCTTTTAAATTTTCTGTAAAAATATGCTAAAAATTAGCATTTTCTATTAGAAAATTAAGTTGACTATTTCAGCACTTATTTAGATTCTGTTTGATTGCTTAAGCTAAATTATAAGTTCTGAATAAGCAATTTTAAATGGAATGTATGTGTATTTTCTACATGGTGATTCTTCTTAATGTCATTTATGATAATTTAAGTTGTGAAAGATGAACCCATTAACATTTTTATTGGTATTTCAGACAGGAGAAAAACTTTTGGAACTCAATGGACACACTCAAAAGATAACAGCTATTATTACATTTACTTTCTTGGAATCTTGCGAAGAAAAAAATCAACTCATCTTGACAGCCTCTGCTGATAAAACAGTTATTATATCCTTAAATGTGGAAGAAAGTAAAATAGCTACAGTGACCCAAGGAGACACTACATACATTATTAATCTTTAGCCTCTAGGGGCTTGTCTATTCATTCATGTTTTAGCAAAAATGATTTTGTTCTAGTCTTTATAAGACACTTCTTAAAAGTATTAGGCATCTGAAAAGTATCAGACTGGAAATGGCAGGTTAAGGCCTGTTATTGATGCAAACCCCATGACTAAAGCTGTTCTTTCCAGAGTTGTTGTTATATCAAGTTGTATAAAATGGAAGAAATAGGAGAATAGGGGCGTGGAAATATTTTATTATCTCTATTTGCTTTTCAATTTAGGGAAACAAAGATGAGTTGGAAAGGAGAATAATTTATGTTTCTTTTCTCCTCATTGTACAGCAAAAGAAACCAAATGACCTAAACCATAAGAACCTTTTGAGCATCCGAGTCTGGCAGAAAAGTGAATTGCTATCTGCTCAGTGTTTAAAATTAATATTCTGTATTTAAAAACAATTTTATAAAAGTAAAATTCCTTTTCTTTTCCCCATTCTATTAGGTAAAAAGTTATGATAGAATAGCAGTAGTAAAGTTTTACAAAGTGCCTGTATATGCCAGGCATTATTCTAAGTGTTTTGCATATATCAACCCCTTTAATCCTTAAAATAGACCTCTGAGATATGTATTTTTAATTATTCTCATTTATAGATGAGAAAATAAAGGCACAGAGAGGGTAAGTAACTTCCCAAGACCACAGTTAGTGTAGGGAAGATCTGGCAAACAGCCTGACTGCAAAGTCAGAGCTTTGAACCACTCTGTGATACTGCCTTCATAAAATATTTTCTGTAAACAAATTTAGGCCTTTAATATCTATATGAGGAATTAAATTTGTGAAGCCCAGAACTAAGTGCTGTGGGTAACTGCATTCTTTCATTATTATATATTTTTAAAAAGGTGTCATCAGATTAGCTTTAGAAAGTCTATGCTTATCTGAAAGTTCTGTTTAAACAGGTTCAAGCATTAGTGATGTTAAGTTTTAGAGTAAGCCCCAAA